CTCTCTTTCTTTCTTTTTAATTTGACCAGAGAAGGACAGAGAGAAAGAAGGAAAGTGAGAGAGCAAGTCGCCAGGTCTGGGACTTGAACTGCAATCGGCCATGTAAGAGTCCAGCACCCTTAACCACCACTCACCTGCCGGCCCCCTGCCCCCGCCCCACACACACTTTCTAAGGACCTTCCTAAGAAGATCCTCATCAAGAACAAAATTAGCAGGCACCTTATCCTGAACTTTCTAGCTTCCAGAGCTGTGACTAATAAATTTCTGTTAAGTTATCCAGTCTATGCTATATTGTTAAAACTGCTCCAATAAACCCTCAAATCCTAGTGTCTTACAATAACGACTTACTTTCATTTTCATTTACAAGTTGACTACTCCATGGTCTTTTCAATCTGAGGCTAAAATGAGTAGTTCTCCCCCTGTCAATTTTTGTCTCATAACAGAGTAGAGGAACCACAAAATGGTTCAGAAGTAGCAGATGTCTTCCCTCTTCACTTATGATTTGCCACAGCAAGTCATATGGTCAATCTTAAGTCAATGGGCCAGAAAAACTAATTCTGAGTTAGTGAATGATAGAGACAGTAACTTTCCCTCACTGTTAAGCTTTAAAAGCAGAAGTAGGCTTTATTCCTTTCTAGCTCTCAAGTTTCTGGATTTAATTCCCTTTCACTTTTACCATTTTATAATTCGATTCTTCATCTTTCCAGCCTCTAAAATCAATGTCATAGGTACTCACAGCCCAGTATATGCCAAAGGCATTAGGTATTCATCACAGTAACATTTCATTTCCAGCTCACATGACCTCATATTGGTCATATGTGTTACACTGTAGTGCACTGATAACTGGATTCATTATAAGACTATCTGATGAGCTTTCTCAAATACGCATACCCAGAAATTCCAATGTGCTCTATGATGGGAGGACGACCTGTTTTGGTAATTGTTCAAGTTTTTCGGATATAGAATCATTTTCTCAACAATAGATTTATACTCTTAAGACAGAAAAATAAATTTTTATTCTGAGGCAAAATAAAACTCATGGATGAGGTGACTTGTTTCAGCTAGCCAATATATTTTTTTACTTCTTTTTTTTTTTGGAGAGGTTTTTTTTTTTTTTTTGCTATAGGGCACGTGCGCTCACCAGACAGACAGAGAGACAGAGAGAAAGCGAGAAATCATCCCCCAGAGAGGATGGCCACGCCGCAATCCATTTTCCTCCATTCTCCTCTCGGGATCTTGGACACACACGCACGCATGCCCAGCATGAGCTTCAAGCCACTGGCTCCAGGATGCGAACCACGGTCGACTACGTGGGAGTCCAGCAACATAGCCATTACACTAACTGCTGGTTTCAGCCAATATATTTTTATCTGCTTCCTACAGGAAGAACTGTTTAGGGATTTAGAAGCCAAATTATAATCAAAGTTAAGTAGAAAGCTTGAAATCTGCAAAGTGACCTTATAAGCTGTGTCAGTAATAATGGCATTGATCTCCATCATGGAGGTATATTAGCTTAGAGGTCCAGGTCACACATTGGTTAGGGCACCTCTTAATGAGACTGCTAAAGTAAATTGTCAGTCACTCTGTTTTAATGAAGCAACTGGGTTTAGTGGAAAGTACATGAATGAATTATATACTTTAAATTGGTGTATGAAATGATATGTGTTATACCTCAATGAAGCTAACTTTGTTTTTGACATTGTGATGGTCTGTCTTTATATGCAAAATTTTTACACATACAGTATGTTTGGAGAATTAATAAATGTTCTGTCCATTAAATCATTCTTTGGAAGAAAAGTTCACAAACCACTGTTCAGGAAAGACGTTAAAATTTATCTAGAAGATTCATGGTAAACTTTAAGTTTCAGCTAATTTTCATTTCTAGCTGCTGACCCTCGCCGATATTTCAACCATACCAATAAGAAAGAACAGCAACCAAATCAACCAATAAATTAGTGTTATTCAAAGTGTCGTTCATAGGCTAGAAGCATCAGCATCATCCAAAATTTTGTTAGAAATATAAATTCTTAGTCCCTACACAAACTAATTGAATCAGAATCTTTGGGGGTGAAACTGAAGAATACATATGTTTAACAAGTTCTATTAATACCATAGTGTCAGTATCTAAGAACTAAAAAAATGATAAATAGTAGTTATGTCTTTCCTTTTTTATCTCTTACTTCAAATCAGTATAATTCAAACATATCTTAATTTCACATCTAGAGTCGAAAGACTAGCAATAAAGTCCCTAGAGAAAAGTACTTATTAGAGAAGAAAAAGGTGTCATTTTAATGTTTTACAGAGCAATCTAGCAACTCTTTAAAGTTTCATTATAAGGGGATTTTACTTGTACATCCAATTTCAGGAAAACTACCCTGTGACATAATGAATTAAGATATACTTTCCAGCAATTTTGAAGCAACTTTGCAGCTTACCTTGTACTGATCATTGGGACCCAGTTTGTTCCAGGGTTCAGGGTTATTCTTTCTGTCCCAACTAGAAGAAATTTAAAAGTGTTCTGACTTATTAAATTAATTATTTCGAATGCGTCACTATCATTTTCTGTTAGGTGGAATGTGGTGTTATTTTCATTATAAAATTGAAAAAGAAATAGGTTTTATAATAAAGCAATCACATGTAATCAATTAGAAAAAGTAATACACAGCAAAGTACATAGAATGGTGATGATTCCAACTTTTTTTGCCTACTCTTTCCTAACTATAAAAAGGAACATTACCTACTTGGGAAAAAGGGGCCAAAAACATTTACAGGTGCCAAAAATCATAATTACTTTATTAAAAACATTATCATCTCAACTCATAAACACTTTAAAAATCAGTATTGTCAGTTCTACTTTACTAATGAGAAAAAGAGACTCAGGGAAATTACATTTTCATGAGTCAAGAAAAGTTAGTAACAATTGAGTAGGAATCTGAACTTAACTATGACTATAGAAGTCTGGTTCTTTCCACCACTTAATGTTACTTCCCTGGAAAGACTCTGACTCCCAAAACAACTTGATAACCATTTTAGTTTTAAATACTTTTAAGTACTTACGAGACATCAGGATTGAACACTGCCAAACGCATGAGATACAGTGCTGCTCCAGTACCTCCAGCTCCAATAAATATAAACAGGGGAATCAACTAGAACAAAACACAAAGCAGACAGTTGACAGTCATCTGGCCAAAGAAAGGGATATAGCTATTTCTAAACATTGACTTTCAAGTCTCAAACTGCTATTTTGCTATCTTGTCTTAGAAATGTGAATAAAGGTAAATCTTACTTTGAAGTGAGACTTCTTAGAACTGTGTTTGCAAACGATGTGAAGATGACTCTAACTATCCGATTTTTAAATGTGGAGCAAATTACGCACAAATTTCTAAATTTCCAAGAGTATTAAGTTTTTCTCTATATTTATACAGCATCCCCATTAAGTTTCCCAGCTTCATCTCCAAGCGTGAAAAATAAGCCCTTTTGCAGATTATTTAAATGTACCTCCATACATTTGTAAGAAAGACAAAAATCTCTGTGAAATAAGGAGTTTAAAATAAGCAAGCAGAAACATATCTACTACAAATATCAGCTTTAGGCATAATCTCTCAAAACGTATAGACTGCATGTATGTAGGTAACTGAGTTTAGAGTAACTGTTAGACCACATAATACTTAGGTCCACAGCACGTTGTTGTGTTTGAGGAAAAGACACACAAATGAACTTAAATACAATTAAATTCTGAACTACAAATACTCAAATTGTCAGGGCTTCCAAAGTGAGGATTCTAAAATCATGGATCCCTCATATACGTCACTAGGCCTGGTGGTGCAATGCGGCGTGTACAACACCCTCAAGAGGCAGCATGACAAACAGGGATCCGACCTTTACTACTTACTAGTTTTTAATTCACACGGAGCACATCTCTCTCTCTCTACCGCCAACCAGCTTGTTCCAACATTCACTTTTTCCTCGCAGGAGTCCCTTATCCTATTCCTGCGAGCCAAAACCCCATAACGCATGGAGAAGGTCGTAACTCAATGACCTGGAGGAGCTAGGACTACAAACAAGACGAAGCCCCGAGGAGCGGTAAGCGACTGAGAAAGGAAGACGCTCCCAGAGGATGAGGGCACCGACACTCCGACAAGACGGACAAGAGAGGGGTCACGAACTTACACTCGGATGCTTCTTGGCCTGACCCAGGATCTGGCGGAGCATGTTTACGGTGGAGGACTCGGGTCCGAAAGCACTAAACAAGTCTGCCAGGCCACAGACCAAAAACTCTCCTCACAGAGGTTGAGCGGACGCCCAAAGTCACACAAGACCTCCTACCTGAAGGACCCCTGGCTCGGAGGGCACCCTGCGGCAGCACGGCCCGGAAGTGGCTGTCCTTAACAGTGCCTGCTTTGATCCGGCTCCGCATGCGTCCACCCTAACCTGGCCCGACCATCACCATTCCGTTCCAAAGAGAATCATCCTGTATTCCTGTGCTAGGTATATTTTTAAACAATTTTTTTCCCATCGTCGAAACTAGTATACTTCGATTGACCAGACAGGCACTTCCTCGGGAAGCCACGTGTTGAGAAATGGGGTCGACAGGAGGGAGCACGGGCCGCGCGCACCACGAGTGGGGCCTTTGAACGCGGCGCCTGACAGCCGGGGCCGCGCGCCGAGGCGCTGGGGGCGCGCGTGCCGAGCGCGCGCCGACTGGCCCTGACAGCCGCAGAGGGAGCTGCGCGGCGCCTGTGGCTGGCGCCTGGCCGGGGCCCGGGGGGGAGG